CTACTGGAAGCATCGGGGAAACAAAACTAGAGAAGCGTCATATTGACACATGATGAATCCCCATGCCATTGTTTGCTACAAACATGGTGGTATCCCGGGCGAAGTAATCTGGTGTTGATCTGCGACTCTGGAGAGCTGCTCTCCATGGGTTAACCAGACTCATCACAGCCCTTAAAGATAGTGATAGTTGAAGTTATGATGGCAATTCGATGGCTGGAAGCTCATGTTAAGGAGAAAAAGTGACAAGAAGCACCGAGCAAAGAACAGTTAGAGGAATTGGATTGTCTAAAAGACTTTGAGATCTTTTTAAAGATCTTAAAGATCTTTTTAAGACAATGTGCAAAATCTTGAATATTCCGATGAGAGTGAAGAAAAATGGGCCAGAAGACGACTGATGCCGTGGTTCAGAGCCAACATAACTGCATCGTTGTACGAGTATGCCAAGAAGCATATGTCTAAGCACAGCAGGATGTACAGTTCGTATCAAATGGACATAGGGTCGAGAGCTTTCAAAAGAGCTTTCCTAATGCATCGGAATGCAGTAACAACCGCAGTAAAGAGAACGCTCCACAGCAGATTCTGCAGGATTAGGAAATTAGCGTAGACCCTCTACCTTGTTGCAAACAAAGGGTAGAAGAGCAGATATGTTGGAGAACTGCCTCGAACAGCGTCAGAAAGGCGACCGATGTGTTGCAAGACACTGAAACTGAGAGTGCGGAGTCGATGCCACAGGAGGAGGAGATGGAGCAGAGACAAAAAGCCGAGTGTTAAGATGCAATAAGGAGAAAGATTTGAAGAACTTAGAAACGACGAAAACCGAAGTAGATAAACGAACGAAGGAGTAACTAAAAGGGGAGAAATAAAACTCAAATTTGTTTTTGTGTGAGAAAAACTCAATTTAGAAACCAATTATAATCGAACAAATTGCTAATTCTTTTAAAGTTTCGTAATCCGAATAGCCTGCTTTAATAAAATTGTATTTCTCACGAACCGGTGCAGGCCATGAAAAAATTTGAAATACTTTTTCAAAAATTAATCAATATAGAAAAAAAACTAAAGTTTTTGCCATCTGATTCGTTTTATAGACATCATGAAAATTTCAAACTTTCATAGCTTTCATAATTTGCTAAGCAAAAGCTAAATTTTTCGCGATTCTTTCCGATCTGAACTATTTTCAAGTTTCAAAGAACAAATAGCTTGCTCCAGAAGAACTTCGTTTTCTCTAAGCCAGCTCGCACTCTGAAATAACTCAGGTTTTTTCGGACCTCAGGAATACCTCAGGAATATTTAACTCAGGAATATTTGCAGTTTTTTTCGCTTGATTGTTTACAAAGAAAACATTTGAAAATTTGCCATCCGATTTGCCTCATGGATTACTTTGGAGAGTTTCCAAATTTTGTAGCTTAGAATACTTGCTTAGAAACTTCTTAGCTTTTCGAGAATCGCTTCAATTTGAAAAAGTTTGAAATTTTTTCTAAGCTTCAAAGCATGAATAGCTTAATTAGAAAAGTTTGAAGTTTCCCCAAAACGGTCCGATTTGGTCTGAAACAACTTGAACTATTTCATTATTTCTTAGTTTGAAGGGCTTTAAAAGTAAAACTCGAGTTTTTTGCCATCCGATTATTTTCATGAAGTAACTTGAAGAAATTCAAGCTTTCAGAGCTGGAATCGTTTGCTTAGAAAATCTTGAACTTTTCGCAAAGAAACGAATTGTTCCAAAAACAACTATGATTTTTTCAAAGAAAATTTTTAATCGGATTAAGTTTCAGTCTAAGAAAAAATTGGAAAATTTTCAGTTTTTCATAGTATCAAGAGCAACAAACAAAAGCAAAGAAAAAATATCAGAAGGAAAAGATTTGCTCTATGAATTATGTTGATATGTCTCAAAAATTACTTGCTTATATTGCTTGCGTATCAGCTTTTAAAACTTCTCGCAAAACGATTTGCTCTATGAGATAAGTTAAAATATAAAATAAATCAAGTTTTCTTAGCTTCAATAGTTTGTCCAAGAAAAACTCGATTATTTTGCGACCGATTTGGTCCTGAAAACAACTTGAAGTTTTTCAAATTTTCATTGCTTCAATAACTTCAATACAAAAACTTCACTTTTTGCTATCCGGTTCATGAAATAATTTAAGATATCTCCTCGATTTGGTCTACAACAACTTCAACTATTTCAATATATTAAGGGCTTTAATAGTAAAACTCACGTTTTTTGTCTTTCGATTCTTTTCATGAAGGCACTTGAAGCAATTCAAAGTTTCAGAGCTGAACTGGTTTGCTTAGAAAACAATGAATTTTTCGCAAACCGATTTGGTCTATGAAATTTTCAATTTTTCAAAACGATTTACGACATGGCTTAAACTGAATTTTTTTTGACATTTGATGGTTTGAATAGCTTGATCGGAACAAAAACTAAGTTTTCGCGAGCCGATTGAAAAATGGGATGTTGAATAACTTATATTGGATTTGAACGAGTGATCCTAATTTTTCAAACGCCTGTGTCCTGGCAATAGGCACAAAGTATGAATGTTTTCAGCAATTGAATTCAGCATTTTATGATTTCAGTTAATAATTTAATCAAAACCACTGAAATTGACAGATCAGCAACTTAAGCAAATTTGTATTTTGTCAACCGCACTTGACCGGGATTATTTTCTTGAAATATTTCCAACTATGATTATTGGTTTATATTTTCCTCATTGAGTTTTACGTTAATTTTAATTTAATTCCTTTTTTTTTAATGTTGGAGATTACCTTGTTCAGCTTGAGATCAACAAAATAACTACGTTAGAATCGGCAAAAATTTCGTAACTGTCTCAGTTGCTTTTCCTCCAATGGTTTTAGATATATACAATTGCTGATTTTCTCTGGGTTTCTGTAGACTGTTTTTTGCTTGGAATACGATTTATAACTTTCTGCGGAAGCGAACTGAAAATTCGCGTAGGTTCAAAGCGATAGATTTTTTTGCAGTTTATAGGGCTATGCAGTGTTTTTATTTTAGTCGGTGAAAGTTTCATGAACCTTCAAGGTTATTGAGAATTAAATTTGAACATAGCAAACACTTGCACCAACCGTTGTGTTAATTATTTGTTGAGAAAAGAAATCCAGAATGAAATGAAATCAGGTTAGTTCATGCCATAGACTTGCATAATGGCGCATAATGACGTATCTAGATGTATTGAGCTTTTAACCAATCACAAAAATGTATTTTGCTGTATGACATTGTTTTAACACTCGTACTTAGATGCATGAAAAATCAACTTAAAACAGTTTTTCGCTGTATTGTTATTCAAACTTCATCTTCGGTTTTCGATAATGATAAAATATTTTATCTAAAATTGTCAGGCCCAAACATGTCATTTTTCCGCTCGCAGTGAAGTATTTTTCAATTTTAGGGTAAAGCACGGGTTTTCAATGGCTTAAATGATTCATTAAAATACTATTGATACTGTTTTCTCTAATTCTTTGAATTGTATTGATTTTTTTGCTTTCAAGCTGTGTTTGAGCATTATTGATTATTCCATTTCTAAGCATTGAAATTCATAGAAAGTGTAATTTGAAGAAGTTTTCATTTGGAAAACGCTCAGTTTTTTCTCAACTGCTTCCAAGAAGATTCGACTATTTTGTTCATATTGTCAAAGTTTCGTATATTTAAGCAAAATGTGAGGGAGGTGTTTCTTGCTTGCTAACGAGACTACTGAATGATAACAGCTTATAAAACTTTCTTATCTTAGTTTTTGTGGAAAAATTGAAGCTCAAGTTGATTTCAAAAGAACACTTAGATTTGTAGGGATTAAAACGCAAAATCACAATTTTTGTTCCGACTTTTGATACGAAAGTAACGGAATATTTGTGCTCGGGGTGGGTTTTTTTTTCTTCAGACAAATTTCGACTTTTTAACTAGCCATTTTCGACGGAATTTTTTTTTTATCATTCAAAAGGTATTGTTGTCCTGAGCATAAATTTGAAAAGATATTTCACCTGTGATCATTTTTCATTAAGTTATGAGGGTTTAAAGATTGCCATTTTGGCCATTTTGACCAATTTGGGACAATTAACGCGCGATATAATTCGCGCTCTTAACGCGTAAGCGGAGAATTAATCCGTCTTATAAATCGTTCCAAATTGGTTGAACGAAGCTTATTTGCCATAATTGATTTGTTACAAGGACCGAAATCTCTCTTTTTAAACTTTATATGAGGTGTGGGGGGAAAATTTTCATAAAAAATTTCAAATTTTAGAAAAAAAAATTTTCGTTTCATTTTATTTCATTTAATTTTTTTATGTTATTACTGCTGCTCCATAAACCTTATAGGCAGTCGAAACATTCAGGGCTTCGCCCTGATACGAGCAGTCTTGTTAGTTTTGAAGAAGATTCAATTTTTAAATTACGCAAAATCTAAATCCATCAGAAAATCCCTAATCTTTCTACGTGGAAAACTTCTGTAGGAAATTCTAAAGTGCATCCTTGAACTTGGTATTGCTTAACTTGAATCAATTACAGTGAGATATATGTTCTTCTAATTCTTAGCATAAAAAGTCAGTAAACAAACAGATAATTCAAAAAAATTAACAAAAAATCACAATTTAGCTCAAACTAATCATTTACTTAAATTTGCTCTATTTTCAGAAATTTTTACATTGTTTTACCCCAATGTTTTAATATTAATCATTGAAGATTGTTCACATTTGTTGTGTTAGGTAATCTACCGACGCAAAACAAAATTAGTAAATTTGTTTTCATATCAATTATAAAAAAGTGGCTCATATAAAGGTGGTGCCGTGTGCAATCCGACTGCCTGACTACATACAACAAATAAAAAAAAACGTGGATTTTATTTCAATGTTTTTTGTTAATTTATCCCACGGACGCTATAAAAAGTTCCAAAAACAAAAAACAATTAAAAAGATAAAGTGATGGTTTTTGTGTCGTGTTATACGTTAAAAAAAGAATTATGTACCTCAAAAGCATTTGCAATCATTTAAGAGCCGTTTACATTTAATAAGACAAAATACGACGAAGTATGTAGCGCGTTAACAATCATACATTTAGTCAAATTGGCGCTCTTCAAACCTCAATTTTCTAAATTTTCGAAAAATAAATGGAGGTGAATTCTCAATTTTTATTTGTGCTCAGGACGTTAATAGCTTTCAGCTTACTTTAAAAACTTGTACAAACGTGAATAGTTGTGCAATTTTTCTCTGAAAACCAACCAAACCCCCCCCCCCCCCGGAAGAAGAACAAATATTAGTCGTTTTCATCGAAATAGGAAGAATAATAACTTTTTACAAACTATCTGTTTTGTTGGTAACTTCCATCTGCGAGTCTGAACTACAAATCAAGGGCCAGGAAATTACATCTGGCTGTTAGGTTTTTTGTCCATATAAAGGCTCAAGCGGTTTTTTCTCAAATTCTTTGAAAAATTGACAGCACTTATTTTTGACCGGACACACAATTTATACCTAAGAGATCAAAAAAATCAATAGGCAATAGGTAAAATTTTTTAATAGGTCACATAAAGCGCGTCAGGCGATAACTAAAAAATACAAATTCAGCCCTCACATTAGTAAAGTAAGATTTGATTCAAGGAAACTGAAATTTTTATAGTTTATTAAAGAAGTAGTTTTGATGAAACTCAAGTCAAATATTCAAATAGATGTAAGACGTTAATAAAATTCTAAAAAATATCATTAAATACAGCATTGAGCATACATTTTTCATAATTCTCTTTTTAGGCCTGAACGTCAAACAAAAGAGTGTACAGTGCTGATTTAAATTAACCGGACAAAACGAGCTATACTTCAAATTTGAAACGCGTTTTTCTCAAATTGGGTTGAGTTTAGGTGAAAAGTTATGAAGACAAAAGTTTCCTAAAATTTTAACAGAATTAATATGGTCTAATTTGTTTTACGAAATTCGGGCCATAAATTTTACCCCAAAAATGGGTCGTTTTGGCTTTTCTCAGTTAATCAAAAATTAAGCCCAAAAACACTCAATCGATCACAGACATAATTATATTAAAGTGAGCTCCTTACGTAGCCCAACAAACTTTAAGAAGGGTATCTTCTCCAAAACATTGTATAATTTAATTTAATTTTGTTTGATAGGCAAAAAACGTCGTTTTTACTATAAAAAATACCAACTATTTATTTAAAAACAATTTTTAAACAATTTGCAAACTTTTTTGGAGAATATACACTTCTTAAAGTTTGTTGGGCTACGTAAGGAGCTCACTTTAATATAATTATGTCTGTGATCGATTGGGTGTTTTTTGGTGTTATTTTTGATTAACTAAGAAAAGCCAAAACGACCCATTTTTGGGGTAAAATTTTGGGCCCGAAATTCGTAAAACAAATTACATCATATTAATTCTGCTAAAATTTTAAGAAACTTTTGTCTTCATAAGTTTTCACCTAAACTCAACCCAATTTGAGAAAAACGGGTTTTAAATTTCAAGTTTAACGCGTTTTGTCCGAATAATTTAAATCAGCACTGTATAAGCTTCTCATAGTTAAAACGAGTAACACTTTTTTTTCCTTTTTTTATTTCATTCCGCTGGCTTTATCTCACGATTTTCAAGATTTTGAAGAAAAATTTGAGTAAACCAGCCCAGAAAATGAGACAATTTCACAAAGTAGCTCCCATCGTTACACTCGTGTCGAGGCGTTTCGGTTTTACTAGCTGAGTAACTAGCAATACCATAAACGCACTCGGGTTGAGTTGTTCCACATTTGAACTTGTAGAGAGGTCCCCCATTATCGAAAGTGCATATATTACCCCATTTGATAGCAGGTTTGGTGCAGATATTGTCTTCTCGACACGGAATGTGATTTTCGCCATCAGTAAAATGATAGGGAGTGATTCTGAAGAAGGTTTCTGAAAGCTTATATACTCTTTCCCGGTTCCAAGTACTATAAAGTTGATTAAAGTTTGAATAGAGTACATTTTTTTTCTGAATGTTCAAAAGTTCAACTTTTTTTGATTTTCCAAAAGTGTTTTTTTTTTGGTTTTTCTTACTTTATATTATTGAAGTTTTCACATTGTATCAAACTAATGAATGTTAAACGAAGCTACAGAAGCCAAAAGCGGACTTCGCCAAAAAGTTTTGCATTTGATGTATCATTATCTTGTCCACTTTTTTTGCTTCCTCAGAAAACCTAAAATTTAAATTTGTTCAATAAACAATTACATAACTGCTGACTGGAAAAGAGCCCTTTCAAAATCGGTGACACTATTGGTCCGTTGATAGATCTGTTGGCTTTTCCCATTCCGCAAGTTCCAAAAACTTGTTGAAACCTCTCACGAGGGGGAATTTCATATGGACAGATCGGAAGGTAGAGTTGCTGGAACTCCATAATCGGAACATGCGTTCGTAGAATAGCCAAATCGTTTTTAGGCATAGCGCTTGGCTCAAATCTGGAACAAAGTTTTTTATTAATAAAAAAAATAAACGGTTGATCTCTACTGAAGACAATGCTCCAAACGAAAAGGTAAAGATACCATTTAAATTGGTTTTAAAACTTTCGTTTGTTAGCAATAGGCATAAAAAAACACTAACTGTTTAAGCTTTTGCCTTAAAAAAATTTCAAGTTCTTTTTCAACTTTTTTTTACCGTTCCCAACCACCCAAAAAAATTGTATTTGAACTATCAAGCTGAGAACATTTTAATGTTACGTCACATCAGCAAACATAGCATCAGCGTAAAGCAATGTATTCGACAAACATATAATTATGACGAATAAGATAGAAAATAGACAATTGCGGCGTCAATTATAACAAGATTGAAGAATTCAAAAAACAACAGCAGTTCTGCAAACAAAATTTCACCAGACAACCAGAAAGTTTTCCAGTTTTCCAGTTGAGATAACACCAAAAAAATAATAAATGATAAATATCATTTCGTTAAGTCAAGGGTATTGGCTAGAAGTTTTTTGAAGACCAATGAAATCGGAATGCAAATTGGAGCATGATGGTTAAGGAGAAAAATTTATTTTGCGCATCATTGAAAGAATCCTGAAAAAAATTACCCCTTGATCAAAAATAGGCTGTCAAGTCAACAAAACTCTGGTATTAAAATGACAAGTAAGTAAAGTACCTAAACATCAAATAATTCTGGATTTGAAGAATAACCATACAACCCAATTTTGAAGACGATATGACGATGTTAATACGGGTTGACTCCTCAAAATAAAAAGGCCTAACATACAATTTCATCTGAAAATGCTTCAAAAAATTGTATCAAAAGATTAACTCTCGTTTTACTTCTCGTTTTTTACTTATCGTTAAAATCTTACTTCTCGTTCTTACTTACTTGTTAAAAATTTTACTTCGCGTTTTACTTCTCGTCTAAAATCCAAATAAAACAATTTTGCGGCAAATTTTGTGGCAAGAAATCAATTTTTGCATAAAAACAAACTATAACAAAAATTTTTACAGTAATTTTTTTTTAATGAAGATTGTATTATACGCTTTCTCCATGCAAAAAAACACAATTTAGGTATAAATGTTTCTCTCATTTTTGATCGCAAATTCATTTCTATAGACACATAACCATTTTACGGAAAAAGCTTGCAGACAAAGTTTTTTTTTCTGTGCTTATAATATAGTCCAGTTCATAGCAAAAAAATTAATATCATACAATATTCATTAATGAGTCTGTTTCCAATAAAAATTGTGGTAGGTTTTTTCTAGAAGATATCAAGTTTTGCTTTAAAAAAGACTACTGGTTGTTTCAAATATAAAGTTATTTTTATAAAAGCTTGTCAATTCATAATCGTGGATTCATTTGACTTTAAATTTGGAGGGAAATTGCAAAACTGACAAAAATGTGATTTAAAAAACTGCATTGGTCAGATCAACGTGATGAGAAATATCCGCATTTTTCTAACGTTTCATATTTTTAAGCTGCAAGCACTTCTTTAAATTATTTGTTCATACAATAATGAAAGCAGCGCAGAAGAACAACGGATTAATTGTTTGTTAGCAAAATATCAAAGACAACTAAAATTCGTAGGAGGTTCAGGGAAGACGATGCAACATGCCACTGTACATGGTGTGTTTTAAGTTGGTTAAGGACTAAGCTTAACGACATATTTATAGCACGGCGAAGTCCTATACCCTGGCCACCCCAGAGTCCGGATCTTAGCCCCTTTTTTTGGCTGTGGGGTCATTTGGTAATTGTACATCGTGCTAACCCGCGAAGTGTTCAGGAATTCATTCAAACAGTCGAAGCTGCTAGCAGTACAAAAGCGATCCATAATTGAGTTGATTCAGAAAAAAAATTGAAGAAAAGATTAAGGGTCTCTGTGGCGCAAAATGGCGCCCATTCCCAATAATATTTATAAACAATTTCAGCAGTTATCAAAAACTATGTCTGTTATCTCTCACTTGCTGAAATAATTGTCCATTTATCTTCTCTCAAAAAAGTTATAGCGTTTCCTAAAATACCAGTTTATTTGAAACACCATATTTAACAAAAAAAGTTTATTGTTTGACAGGCAATTTTTCAGAGCAAAACTACAAAATTCATATCAAAAAATGTTCATCCTTGTTTTTTAGCAAATTCGTTTCTGCACTCACAGAACAATTTTACGTAAGCTAACAAAATTTTTTGTCTATTACGTAATCCAGGTTGAATTTTTGGCACATTTATAAACAAATGCTATTCATTTATCCGCAATTAGTGTTTTTTATTTATATATAAACTATATAAACTTGTGGAATTCAAATCATTGATTCACATGGCAATTTTCTAAATGCAGCCCATCTCTACGGAAATTTCAGTTCAAACAGGGTTTTTTTAATGGTTTTTTTTTCAAAAATCCTTGGTCATTGAGTTTTAGAAAAACACAAAATTTCAAAAGGCAACTCAAGGCTTTTCTCTCCTTGGAAAACTTGCTTATCAGATGTTTTCATAGAACAAAGAATTTGCTCATTTTACTTTTGTGATAAATATCATGAATTATCCTATTATCCATTGAAAAGTAAAGAGTGAAAAACAGGCTTGCCGTAATTTAACTTTCTATGAAAAAAATGCTTGTGAAGCTTGTTTCATACTTTCTTCTATGAAAATGTATGAAATTGTTAGATCACCAATTTTTTACTTGCATGATATTGTATAATAATCGTTTTTTCAAACCCTTTTCTTGTGTGATAAGCATTTTTTGATAAGCAATTTTTCTAAGTTCAAAATCCTTGATTGGAAATTGCACAATTGGTCTTTTTTCCTTGGAATAGATTTCCCAAAAAGACTCGGATATATCTAAAAGCAAAAATACATACCCGGGTGCGATGTAGATTTTCGAAATCCAGTATCTTGTTTTTGGCATGTGGGGAAGTGTGAAATCTCCGATGTCCACGTAAAGGTCGTTAGCTGAGAACAGAGAATTTTGAGAATGAGACAACAAGTTTGAAAAGAGACAGTACGCACGGGTGTATTTGACTAAGCTAAATAGTTAAAGTGTATAGATTGGCTTTAAAACTTTTTTTGTAATGATGAGAATCATAAAATTTTTGATGTCCAGGATTAAGTAACAACAACACCCCCCCCCCCCCCAGATTGACAAGTTAGGCTCCACCTTTTGGGTTAAATTTTCTTAACGTGTGTAAAATACTCGATACTGATTGGCTGAAATTTCGAACTTAGAACCAATTTAAACTCTTTGTTACGATGTCATAACTAAAATTTGTTGTTTACTGATTTTTTCATAGCCCTGAAAATCCAGAAAATTAGCTCTGATTCAAAAACAAGTCGGCCCTGACTAAAAAATTCAGCAGTGAGATTATCAGCCCTGATTCATTGATAGTTACAGAAGCAAAATCATGAGCCTGAAACATCTCTGCTATAAGGTAAATTTCGGCGCGGCCGACTATTTTGCGACACCGATGAGTATCATATCAAAGGAAAGTAATTATCAGACTAAAAACTGACTTTCATTGACAAAATGTGACATACAAATGTATATTCTTAATTGTTAGGCAAAATCATACAAAAACAGCGTGAGAAATTGAAAACGATTGCGCAATGCAAAAAAAAAACTTAAGGATTTGCACTAGTAATTCGCTTTTCACTTAAAATTATAAGAATTGGTTCTTTCAAGTTTTTAAAAGCGAATCTTTAACCAGAGTAAAACTCTCGCTCTTTTTTTGATAATTGAGGTTTTTGATAATGTGGTTTTCTATTTTTTTTATGATGAAACTTCTGCGACTCTAGAGAATTGGATTAAAAAAATAATAAAACTTGAGGTGAAATTACCTTGAGTCTTACTTGAACTGATTTACCTTTCTTGTTAACTTGAAAAGACAGTAAGAGTAAATTTCAAGGTACACCTGGAGTAACTTAAAGTAAAACTCAAGATAATTTGACCTCAATTTTGAAATGTCAAGTTGAGGTGACTTAAGGTATTAGTTTCGATAGCCTAATATTTACCTATTTATTTAAGGTAGCCTTTTCAGGTAAACTTGGGGTGACTTGAGGTAAAATTTAAGGTATCTCCCCCACAAGTTTTAGGGTAATCTTGAGGTGAATTAAGGTAAAAGTTCAGGTGGCTTGAGGTAAGGTTAAGTTGAGCACTTTTTGCCTTAACTGTTGAAGTAACTCAAGGTACTTTTAAAGGTAAATTTACACCAGCTTTTTTTTTAGTGTTCGACGCCTGCAAATAAACTTTGTGATAATCAATCCGGTTAAATGTCTTTGACCTCTGCAACTGTTTGTTGTGATAATTGAGCCATGTGTTCTACAAAACAGATTGTGATGAAACTCAGAGTTTTACAAAATTTAAATGTCTTCGACGGCTGCAAATTTTGAAAAAAATTATATAACCAACCTCAAAATCTTGCACATCAATCGGAGTAGTCATTCCTCCGGAAAAAACGACAAAAAAGTCATCAATTGGATTATTTCGATTATCAGAGAAAAAAAATGGCAGTTTTTTTGATGAAGGATATTGTTAATAATCATATATAAATTTTCTGTTTGGATGCACAAAAAAATAGTTAGTTTCATTGGCTCACTGTTGGGAAAAATTTCAATTTAAGAGCAGCAGATTTCTGTTTTCGTATTGTTTTTGCTGATAACTTTTAATCTCGACGATGTGTCTGCCAAAATCGAAAAAGTAAAAAAAAAGATATCGCTATCAGTGCAGCTGAAGAGAAAACGCAGTGATTGAGGAAAATCGAAAAAAAAATGAACACAACTGAAAAATAATTGTATCAAAAACAAACTTACTCAAAACACAGATAAATTCCATTGACATGCTTTCAAAAACGACAGAAATCTATCAATCATTTGCCTGTTTAGCAGTCAATTGTTTGCACGCAAAATTGGTTTTCTTGGTTCAATTCCTAGCAAACTTTCAGGCTCGCAGAGCAAGTTGAATTGTTGGATAATAAATTCATAACGCTTTTGAGCATGCTTTTCAGGTTGAGATTTTTTTTGATACTATCTAAGTGAATTAAAAAATTTAATATGCAACCTGTTATTCAGCATGGTATTTGGCATATGGATCTGCAAGCAAACTAAAAATGTTATCTTTGAACAAAAACTGACATAACTATTGGATAATTAATAACGGATCTTGGAAGTAAAAATAACCTGTTATCTGGAAAAAAATTCCATGTAATGATTCCTTGAAATTAAAATTTAATTCAGTTTTGATACAGTTTTGCAAATGATAACGATACAGATAAGGACATGCGGAAAAAACAGGGCATAAAAACTCTACAGATAAGTTTCAATCACGGCATCTTACACCCTATAATGCTGAATGATGTTGCAAATTGCCATCCAAACTTCACACCAATTGCAATTTGTTTCATATCACTTACAATTTGTTTCAAATCACTTGCAATTTGTTTTGAAGTTAACGCAAGCAAATAATTTTTTTTGAGAATGCTACATCATAGAAAACTACAAAACGACAAAAACTAGTTCGGAAATTATATTTGTGATCTTTTCTAGTGTTGACCTTTTTCTGCTTCTGTTTTTCTTTTTGTTTCATTTTGACCTATCTGCATCTTCTGCCGAAAAAACTCATTTTAAATTACAAGTATCCTAAAAATAGTTTATGAGATATCATTTTCAATAAAGTAGATAAAACAACTGGTCTTTTAATAATGAGCTAATTGTTGAAATTCGGATTTCAGCTTACCTTTATAACGATAAACACATAACGCAGCTGTAAGAATAAATTTTTCTTCAATCACAGTGGCGCCACAGAACAAAGGTGTTAGATACCATCCCATCTGGGCGTAAAAGTACCTCTTG